TGCACCAAGTGGGATCATCCAACCCTTGAAGGTACATCAGGTTGGTGAATGCCATCAGATGGTCTTCCGGGTTAGTAGTGCCATCATAGGCGCCTACTAAAACATTTTTTACTTTGGCCGGCTGAGCGGCTTCAGTAATTTCCTTGGAGAAGGCCGACGGCTGTTCACCAAGTCTAAGCAGCCGTAGCTGCCAGTCCATAGGTTGGACGTTTTTTGCTGCAGGTCCACCAAATGGAGGTGGCTGCATAAAATATTGTTGTTGCGGCACAAATGGCAAATTTGGTACCGCCTGCGCACTATGAAAGCCAGACTGACGGGAGGTGCCGCCTGACTGACTCTCATGGTACGACTGAGTTGGCCTCATCGAGGCATTTCGCAAACTGTCCTGAAAATTTGAAGTAGAAGCCGACTCTGATAATCGGTCACTCTTCTTCTGCTCTAGCAGGTGCCGAGCATCTGTGAACGTTTGCTTTGACCCGTCCGCCTGAATATGACGAACCGGTTTCCTATTTCCCGTAGGATAACGGAGTTTTGTGAAATCAAGAGCAGACGGCTCCCGCTTCTTAGATTTAGGATGGGGAGTCGCCTCTCGCCCTTGAACTGGCTTCCTCTTCAGTGAAGTGGAAGGTTTTTTGGCCGCCTGCTCTTTGACTGAAGCAGGCGGTTTTTTGTTGATCAACTCTTGGATCTCTCCCCTGAATCCCCTCATGAAGGTCATGAGTTCGTTCCTTGTGATGGAAGCAGACCCATCAGTCGGCTGTTGCCGAGCAAGCGGTGCGCCTGCTGGCTCGCTTCCTGTTTGAAGATACTCCCGTTCCCTTATTTCAGTATGACGGGTACGGCGGGCCCTTAGGGTCCCGTCTGGAGCTGTATGAGTTTCAACTTCAAATTCACTTTCGGTATCATGGTCCGACTGAACTTGAGGGTCGTCTAGGGGACGCCTCTCTTCTGGGGTCGGTACAGACTTGGATGCCATCTCTGAAGTACTCTCCCCACAGACGGCGCCAAATGTTTCGGGGTTTTCTGATGTCCTGCGGGAGAGTTACAATTCCGAGACTGGAACCGGACGCCTGTACCTGCAAAATAACGGAGACTCCTGAGAGCTCCGCCTCCAACGGTCAAGTTAGTACCTGATTAAGGAGTAATTAATACAGAAATTAAAGTAATAAGGTCTCTCTAGGTGAGAGTATTTAATGTAGGTAATCTGCTTTGCTAGCGAGATCAGCCGGTTATTAGTGTGTTCCGTAAATTATTCGGTCCCTCGATTAATGAGGATTAATCGAGTATTTATAGCCTTGGGAAGCGTGCAACTCTCTAGGTTTAAGGTAAACCTAGGGCCGAACGGGCTTCTAGACTGAAATGGGCCTTGATGGCCGGTTGTCCCATTTGGCATGGGTGGACACGTGGCGTGTCTTAAGTGGTCCGTGGAGGACGCGTGGCGGAACCTGGTTGGTCCAATTGTCAAACGGCGCTTGGTGGATAAAAATCCCCTAATCAGCACTTATCGAAGACATGACTCCTTCAGTCTTCGGGCGCCAGCCTTTGCTTCCCTCGCCCGGCCGGGTGCCAGCCTCTTTGGCCGGGCGGCTTTCTTGGGCCACTATTTGGACTACGATTGGGCTCTAATTCTTTGGGCCAATCTGGGTTTCCTCTTCGGGTCTTGAATACTCGGTCCAAATGCCCCGATATCACATATACCGAGCCCTTAATCACCGGTTCGATGGCTCTAACCGGCCCTGGGCTATAAAAACTGGTCATGCTTCTCCAATGCTCGTAATTGCTCCATAATATCGCGGGAAAATGCTCCAAAAGTGCAAATCCCTGCAAAAGTCAACCAATTCTACGAAAACACTAGAAAATACCTATCAGTAATAAAAGTGGCTCTAAAGAGCCAAAAACACTACTAATTATGACCAAGGGACGGGGGTAAAATACTATATAAAATAGACACATCATATATATCAGGTTAATGACTTGTATTTTTGAGCAATTTTAACTCCCTCCTTATATAATAATTTATCTAGCTATCAAAACCCCATCTAAATTTGATATCTTTTCCGACATCAATGGTAATCATAGACTCATAGTACAGTACGTAGTATATAATAGAAAAAATAGAAAAGAAATAAAAAAAAATCCAAAGGAAGAAGAAAGAAGAAGAAGAAGTTGCAAAAATCAGAGCAAATGAGGGGGCTTCATTGTGGGTGGATTACTTTAAATATAGGAGGAAAAAAAGGAGGGAATTAAAATTGGTCAAAATTGCAAGCTATTAACCTAGTACTAACGTTTAATTAACGGAGTGCTTACTGTAGTTAATTAGTTAAAAGTATTGGTATACCGCTGATAATTAAAAAAAACTTAATTAGGTGTATCATTGATAAAAGCCTAAACATGGGGTGTACCAATGATAGTTTTCCTAAGTAAAAAATAAGTCAAACAAAACAATGCAAGGCCTAACTTTTGCTCAACTCAGACTATATATGATGACATTTCCTCAATTTAACGACATTTAGGGCATGTACTCTTTGTAGGACTTTAGATACTCTAAGTGGAATTTTATGAATCGTATTCATAAGCATCTAATAACCAAGATCATTGCATAACACATAAAGAACATATAATTATACTTTTGAAGTGTGATTCCACGTGCGATCGAGCAAGAACAATGGGAGATAAAGAACCCCAAGCGTGATTCCTCCACTTAGTCCACAGGCACATATTAAACCTCCACTAATGCTAGTTAGTCGTGATTGAATGCTTCAATCAATTTTCAACGAAGTGATAAGAGAGTCACGAACCACCACAACGGATCGGACACCACGAGGGGGCGCCGGGCGTACGAACGTGAGGAGAAAAGGGAGGGTCGTGAGTGAGGAGAGAGTAAAGGGAGTTCTGGGAAAACTGGTTGCCTTGTTTTACAATTCACTAACTGTTATTTGCGACTTAATTCAACTAACCCTAGGCATAAATCTTATTTATAGATTATATTTCTAAATAAGAGTTCATGTCAAGCCCAAAATCCTAACCCTAATCAAACTACTCTAGCCCAACACTCCATGTGATATGTCTAATAGGTCTTAGTTGCATCTTAGTGCAGCTAAGATAGCTACAACAAGGGGAGGCCCAAAACACGCGGCCCAAATCAAATAACTTAGATAACATGTCCGCGATCTGCCCAAATCAATACCACGCTCTATAAAATGAACATTTAGTTTAAAAATATGAACATAAAAAAATGAACATTTAATAACAACAAATGAACACGTAAAAAAACAAACATTTAATACTAAAAAGTGAACATGTTATAAGAAAATGATCATTTATTAAAAATGAACATGATTATCATATAATCATAAATTTGCTAGACCACGACCTTAAAAATGAACATTTAGTTAGAAAAATGTACACATTAAAAAAAAAATCAGTAATAAAAAATGAACATCCAGTAATAAAAAGTGAACATGTCAAAAAAAAAAAAAAAAAAAAAAGAAATGAACATTTAGTATATTAGAAATGAACCGACATATATGAACACTTTAAAAAATAAACATTTAGTATTAAAAATTGAACACTTATAAATTGAACATGGAACAAAAAGTTATGAACATTTAGGATATTAAAAATGAACATGATTTTTATAAATGTTCAAATTCATTGTATATAATTATTAATGAAAAATAAAGATAAAATAAATTATTGAAATATGTTCATTTTTTATGCATTTAATATTCATTTTTGGTGTACTAAATGCTCATTTTGTAAAAGTTGTTCATTTTTAAATTCCTACTTGTTCATTTTTTTTAACAGAAATTATATTCAAGATCGATTGTAATCATTTAAACTCTAAAAAAATGAATATACACCTTTAATCTAATCTTGATCATAGTGAAAATAATTATTGATTTGTAACATGAGTAGAAATCAAAAGAGAAAAAATCAAAAGAAAAAAAGAGAGAGAGAGAGGAGAGAGAAATGAATACAAATTAGGCAATACAATTGACATTCATTAACAATCAAGCAATTTAATTGATATTCATCACAAATTCATTATAATTTCAAATAATCAAACAATAAATCATCATGCATGATCAACAAAATCATACAAAATACAATTACAAATTGATAAAATCTAACATCCATTGTTTTCTTTGACCTCCAACTTTCTCTTTCCTCCATTTTTTTTCTTTTCTCTTTGATAAAACCAATTGATTGAATCTGAAACTTATAGATTTAGAAAGAAAGGAGTATACCAATCAAAACACGAATTACTAACTCAAAAATTTATATAAACGAAGAAGAAAACTTTAAAGATTAAAGGGAAGTGAGGTAAAGAGGAGAGAGAAAATTTTAAATTGAAAAAAAAAACTGAAGAGAGAGAAAAATAATAGAGCTAAGGAAGAAGAAGAAAGAGAATTAAGATATATGGAAGAAAAAAAAACGTATGTTCATTTTAACGTACTACATGTTCACATTTAATGTTGTTGCAGCTAGCTTGGCTGCACTATAATGCAGCCAAGAATTTGCGGTGGTATGTCATGATCTCATGAGACTCATTAATGGACATCTTACTTGTTTAACCCATTACCCTTGTTATGTGACCTCATAGGACCCATTCTATTGGGTTTTAAACTATTTAATTAGCTAAAGATCATTTGTCATATCTAACACCAAATAATGACGACCCAAAAGAATGAACTTATTACTCAATGATAGTGATCTTTAATATATCTAATAATTGCAATTATCGAAGACATAATTCTTTCACTCTTCAGCTTAATTTCAGTTCAGTCCAATTTAGTTCAGTTCCTAATTTCATCATCTCATAAACAATCGGTTCATTCAACTCCAATTAATTCAGTTCATTTCAATAAATTAGAATTGACCCTTACCCAATTGTTAAACCCATTTTCTTGACTCTAACCAGGCATGACGAAATTACTCCCTCCTTAGATGACAAAATTACCATCATGTCCTTTGAGTAACATGAATTGTTACTCAAATTGAGCAGCTTTAGATTTTCTCTTAAAAAAAAAAAAATATAATAAAAATAAAAAATGGAGGTTTAAGAGGAGGACTGGAGGATAATACCTGGGCACTCAACTATTTGTTCTGGAGTAGCCTTTCTCCCTGATTCATCGCCCTTTGCAGTAGTATCAGTTTCAGACTCTGCTTCAGGTAATTTCTTCCCATTTTAGTTTTCCCATCAATTTCTTATAATTATCTTTAATTTTTTTTTGTTAGGTTAAATTAATTGATACTGTAATTGTGACACTATAGAACGCAAGCCAAATTGAGGATTTGGGACAATTTCATAGTTTTCCAGATTACCCAGAAATTGAATTCGGTCACTCGTTAGGTAAGTACTTGTTTTATTGCTTAATTCTTCGAATTTACTTTTTTTAAAAAAAAAAAAAATCAGATATGATGTAGTATTGAATGTTATTTATTCATGAGAACTAATGGGTTTTTTGGAAACTATGTATTAGGGTCTTATCTTCTTAGTTTTAGCTGATAAATGATGCAAATTATTGGGTTATATTATTGTGTTTAAATTTTGTGTATTCTTCAGTTTTGTAGAAGATCTTGTTGTGAAAATGCCAGCAATAGTTTCTTCGCGCTTGCTTATTCTAGTGGGGGAGTCCTTACCATTTGGGAGATTGTTACATGTTTCTAGGAATGCTTGTTATTATCACCGAAATGTGCGATTTCTTAGTAGGTATAGGCATGATAATGGCCCTCTTACTCTTGCCACCCTCGGGTTTAGAGATTCAAGAGCAAGTAAAGAGAGTGAAGTAGATAAAGTTAGAGATACAAGAACAAGTAAAGGCAGTGAAGTAGATAGTTTTGGTCAGTTGAACCCTGCATTTGAAGTGCCTAAACGGAAAGCTAAGACAGTTCGCGTTAAGGAAACTGTTGTGAAAGATTGTTTAGAAATTGAGGGAGCTCCATTTGCTGCTAACTCGTTTACTGAGATTGGACTTCCACCTTTGTTATTAAAGAGATTAGAGGAGGAAGGGTTTACAGTTCCTACTGATGTCCAGTCGACTGCAGTTCCGACTGTTTTGAAGGGGCATGATGTCGTGATCCAATCGTACACTGGTTCTGGGAAAACACTTGCATATCTTCTTCCAATACTGTCTGAAGTAGGCCCATTAAAGAAGCAATCTGCCACTAAAGAGGATCCTGGAAAGAAGAAAGATGTGGAAGCAGTTATTGTGGCTCCTTCTAGGGAACTGGGAATGCAAATAGTGAGGGAGGTTGAGAAGCTCTTGGGACCTGCAGACAAGAGAATGGTTCAACAGCTAGTAGGGGGTGCTAATAGATCGAGGCAGGAGGAAGCGCTTAAGAAAAATAAGCCTGCTATTGTTGTTGGTACGCCAGGTCGCATAGCTGAGATTAGTGCAGCTGGGAAGCTTCATACCCATGGTTGCCGGTTTTTGGTGTTAGACGAAGTAGATGAACTTCTGGCGTATAACTTCCGTGAAGATATGCACAGGATCCTGGAACATGTTGGAAAGAAGAGGTCAACGGTGGCCTCCCAACATGGAAATAGCCCCCGAGTTGAACGTCAGACCATTATGGTGTCTGCAACTATGCCAATTTCAGTAGTAAGAGCAGCTATGAGCTGGGGAAGAGACCCACTTCTAGTCAGAGCTAAAAGTATAAGCCCAATTGATTCAGCCTCAACATCTGGCCCTGTGACCGTGGTAAACTCTAAATCTTCATCAGACAAGAATTCACCATCTCAAGCATCATCAGAGAGCTTACCCCCACTTCTGAAGCATTATTACTGCACTGCTAGGTTACAGCACAAGGTTGACACATTGAGGAGATGTGTCCATGCCCTTGATGCCAAGTTCGTTATAGTATTCATGAACTTGAATAGACAGCTGAAGGACACTGTACATAAGTTAGAGGCTCGTGGAATAAATGCAGCAGAACTTCATGGGGATCTCAATAAGCTCACTCGATCAACTGTGCTTAAGAAATTTAAAAACGGAGAGTTGAGAATACTCGTGACAAATGAGCTGGCTGCAAGAGGTTTAGATATTGCAGAATGTGATCTTGTTGTGAATTTCGACTTGCCCACAGACTCAATTCACTATGCACATCGAGCTGGAAGGACTGGAAGGCTTGGCAGGAAGGGTGTTGTGGTTAGCATATGTGAACAGCACGAAGTTTTTGTGATGAAAAAAATTCAAAAGCAGCTTGGGGTGGCCATTCATCCTTGTAATCTTGTTGAGGGTAAACTTATTCAAGAAGAGGAGGAGAAGCACTGAGAGATGAAGAAAAAAAGCAAGATGAATTTTGTTTGTATGCCTCTCTGTTAAGTGAGCTGAAGAATATTGGCTTTCATTTATATGTAGTTTGTATACGTCTTTGAAATATGAAGGGCTACGGTATTTTCCTCTTCAATTGATATTCCTTTCCAACATTATTAGGTTTTTGTGTTTATACAGAGAAATATAATAGATTTTTATTGATTAATTTCAGTCTTACAAAATTCTCTATTCAAGTATATCACTATTCTGCAAATAAAGTTCATACACAGTTACCACACAGAAAAAGACCAAGCCTTTTTAAGGATTTTTATCCTGCATATGCAGAAATGCTGTGGATTCCGTTCTAGAAATCTGTTATTTGATTAAAAGAAATCTAGAAATCGTAGAATGCAAAAGACATAGATTGATTCCATGTAATGGTAAATAACTCCTGCAAGTCATGTACTTGGTCTGATCTTCCTATGTTGCAAAACCAAGAGAGTCGGTGGCAAGGAGACTAGAACATCTTCTGTTGCGCTGCTGCAGCTTCTGTTGCATCTTATTTGTAAAACTGGCAGGTAAAACATGATGATAATTGGAAAGTGTCACAGCTTTCTTTGAAAGTATAAGGTATAGTGTTATTTTTCTATTAGGCGAATTAGACTAAAATTTTCTGCTGTGATTGACATTCATTTAGGTGTGTATTCTAATCTAAAACAATATACAATCCATACTTTTTTGGATTCTAAACTCGAGTTATTCATCCATCTAATAACATCTACAATAAGTTCATTCCAACCTAAAGTCTTAAGACAAATTTTCACTCTGCTTGTCAATAAATAGAGGTAACAATGAAATAGATTAAGATATGACACTAAAGAATAGAAGAAGTCAAGGCATAATTCATGAAAACAGTATGTATTATGAAAATTTTTGAACCATAGTCATTCAATCATTCACCAATGGATTGAAATCGCATAAATATTTCATGAAAAGATGTTGGAGTTGATCCTTGTATCTTATATTCTTGTTACCCTACCATTCTTGTCTCTCTCACTTGTGTGTTATTTATTTTCTTGAAACTTCCTTTGTGGAGATAGCACCTCTACGAAATGGTTTCATGATTTCAAGTATTGTACGTGTTTAGGCTTTGTTATGTTCACCTTATTTTCATTTATATCAAGAAAAATTAGTTATAGAAAATAAGTTCTTATAGGGTTAATATGGGCTATCCAATTTCAATTTACAAGTAGAATAACTTATAAATAAGGTCTAATAAGTATACAAGTTTAGGTAAGTTGAATAGAACACAACCTTAATTAATGTTATGATGTTATCGATCATATCACCCAGTACAAGTAGGATTTACAACCAAGGTTAAAGTGTTAGCCATAGGACAATAAGGCTAGAATTCACATGATCTTTCCCTTGCTATTCTTAAAATTGCGATATTTTGTTTACAACAACAATCAAAGCCCTAATCTCAATAATAAGATTGGCTAATGAACCTATAATTTATCTCCTATGTAGGGATAGCAGTGGATCGGGTTAAATGGAAGACCTGTCCCATCACCGCCCAATTGGGGCGGGGATGGAGGGAGGTTTGGGGGTTTGGGGGGGGGGGGGGGAGCAAGGATGGGTGTAAAATGTGTACCCGCCACGGGTGATGGAGCGGGTTTGGATTTAGAGTAGACCTCGTCCCATATCCACCTCGCCCCGTATCCGTTTTATACCTGCACCATATTTTCCTTTAGAAGAGTTTAACATTTATAAAACTTGATACCCATTAAGGCCCAATAAGCTTGAATAGTAAAAGGGCATATTCTTAGATGCACAATGCACCACTCATCAAATATCCCCTTTCATACACCAACACACACAACTGGACTACTAGTATATATTACTTCATATCCTTCCTTCAATCTTCTTCCTATTTTATTTCTTTCCTTAGTTCTTCATTTTTACATAAATTTTTTGCTCTTTTCAAATTTCTTTACTTGAGTCTTAATTTTGGTTAACATTTTCTCTCTCCATTGTGTACATTATTTTGTTCTTTTAAGATTTTCTCTCTCCTCCATTTTTTGTATTTTCGTTGATTCGTGATGGATTTAATTGGAATGTGGAAGAGATTGTTAATATAAGTTAGTTTATGTTCTTGATTTGTAAATTGGTTTAATTGGTTATATTTTTTGAATTTATAATTGATATTGCATATATAATTTTTAGGTATTCTGTCAATTTGTAATAGATGATGAACACAAATTGATTATAGTACTTTTCTCTTCACTTTTCTATTTTATAATAATTTTAATAAAAAATTTCATCAAAATTTTATGCTCCTCTGTCTTTCCTCTTTTATTCTTCATTTTCTCTCTCCTCTGCTTTCTTTATTTTCTCTTTTGTTTCACTTTTTGATTGATTTTGTTGCTTACTATGGAATTGGTTGTTATTCCTGAAAAGATCGTCAATGTAGGTTAGTGTTTTGTTTTGTTGATTGTAATTAGGTTTTTTTAGGTTATATTCAATTGTAATTGTATTTTGTTTGATTTCTATCAATTTGATCTATGTATGAATTTTGATTTTTTGTGGTGATTTCGTAATGAAATTTGATCAATTGTTTGTGAACATGTAAATCATATGAATTGAATCTACGGCCTTTAATTATGAACATAAGAAAATTGAAGAAATAAAATGATTATGAAACATACGCGTTATAAGTTTTAACTTTTAAAAATTTGAACATATGCATTAAAAATATGCATTTTAAAAAATGAACATGAAAGGAATGGTGTCCTTCGAACAAGTGTATTATTCTGATAGCGGGTTCAGAATTATTAGAAAGCTAATATATTCAGTAAGGTCAAGTGATCGGAATGCCTGCGTGGAGGCCGCTTCCGATCAGTAATATTAATATAATTAATATATCAGCTTAATCTTGACTGAACCCTTCGGGTCACACCCAAGCAAAATATACGAACCGACTCGACGAATTAAATCGGAAGAAATTAATTCGTCGCCCGAGTGTTAAATATTTAGACGTCGGTAATTTGATCTTGGAGCGTCAAAACCGATCGTCGGAAGTCGAGTCAAAAATAATAAAAAGACGAGACGCGCAAAATAATAATAAATCGACCATATTCCCAAAATACCCCTAGCATCGGAGTGCCCCGAGCATCCAAATGCTAGGGGAAAAAATGTCCAAGCATAGGTGGGTAGCAAGCGCACCAAGCCGAGCCTAGCATGGCTGGCTAGGTGCGTGCTAGCGTACCGTGCTAGCAGCCACACACAACAGCAGCTAGCAGTCGCGTGCACGTGGTGCGTGCAGCAGCTAGCTCCCGCAAGCTAGGCGTGCTAGCAGCGCACGCACTAGCAGCCACGCTCAGCAGCAAGCCCGCACCAAGTGCGTGGCTTGCGCGCACAGCAGCAGCCCGCATCTTGGTGCGGGGCTGGGATCGGGCTGGGCTCGTGGCTGGGCCATAGGGCCGGTCACTATGGGGAAGCTTGAGGAATATGGGAGCAAGTGGGTAAGGACATGTGGCACAAGGAGAGTATTGAGTGGGGAGCAAGTATGGTCCCCTACTCTCCATGTGGTCCTCACCAACCCATTTCACATGGTAATGCCACTTGTAGATTTATTATTAGTTTGCAATTTTAATTTAATTTAGCTTTAAATTAATTTGTGGAATTTCATGACCCACATTGATGGGATAGAAATTCCCACTCATACTTTCCTCTATAAATACCAACCTTGGGATTTGGAGTAAAGTGCTTGAGTGGGAGTTAGAAAGAGCATTCCATATTTTGGAAAAACTTTTAAACTCCATTAACACTTGGGTTTTGGTCGGACCTTGCTAACTCCAAGGTAGCGGACCTAAAAAGTCGTGTTCGTCCTTTGTGGGTGGATACCGTTGGAGGCACGGCATTTGCGGTGCTCAAGGCTTTCAAGTAAGAACCCATTTTGAGAGGGCGAAGCTCGCTTCAAGGGTATGATTCGCTCTTCCTTTTTCTTGTGTTTATTTATTTATGCTTTATGGTTTTATTAATTACGAGTGGTTCCTTGGGTCGGGGCTGTTTCCGCGGTGAGTCGGACTCACCAAACCCTAACAGAACATACACATTTAAAATATTAACATATGCATTGGTTCATTTTTTAAATGCATATGAACATAATTAAGCATTTCAAAAGGTGAACATCTACATTAAAATATATGAACATATGGGTTCTCATAAAGTGAACATATGCATTTAAGAAAGTTTACATAAGCATTTCAGAAAGTTTACAAAATGTTTCAAAATATGAACATAAGCATTTAAAAAAGTGAACATATGCATAAAAAATATGAACATAAGCATTCAAAATATGAACATAAGCATAAACAGACAAAACAGACAAAATGAGAACATTTATGAACATTAAGTATATTTATCATATGAACAACAACAAATAATAATAATAATAATAATAATAATAATAATAATAATAATAATAATAATAGGAACACTTCAAAATATTATATGAACATGAAGTATCCGTTAGATTCACTAACTTTTTTAACAATTCTAATAAAATTTCAAACAACAAGGTATCGAACAATATTCAAAGAAAATTAAGTGATATTATATAAATTCAAACAAAATTAAGTGAAATTTATCTAAAATTACCTTTTTTTGGGGGGGAATCCGTTTGATTTTCATCTTATCTCATATATACACATGGTTGTTTTGGATGAGAGAGAGTAAATTGTGTTTGATTGTAAGGCACCGTTCTCTTCATCTTATTTTTGGTGAACTGAAATTATTTTTACTGAAACAAAATTATATTAGCTGAACTTAAATAATTTTTACCAAACTTAAATTAATTTTACTGAAATAAAACTATTTTTGCTGAACTGAAATTATTTTTCTTTATTGATTTTCTGTTATAATTCTTCTTTAAGGAAACTGAATTTTTTACTGGATAGAACTTATTTTTACTGAACTGAAATTAATTTTATTGAATTGAACTTATTTTTACTAAACTGAATTTATTTTTACTTAATATTATTTTTTAAGGTGAAGAGAACAGGGCCTAAGAGAAAGAAAATCAAAGAGAGCAATAATAAATTTCAGAAATTGCCAAAATAGGTATTTGGATTGGGGCGTTGACTTTACGTCGACTTTTCTCTCTTCTCTCTCTTCCATGGTTCTGTGATTTTACTGAACTGAAATCAATTTTATTGAATTGAA